ATCTTCTCATCCAGGCATAGAGGTTGTGAAGATTTTGGTACATAGGTTTCCCTTCCAGAATTTTATGTACAGTTTATGTGGTAGTATTCAGACAGATGGTCTAATTTTATAATCAACATTATATCTGGACCATGTCATAGACTAATATTTTTACAAATGAATTTTAGTGGCTGCATATTACCAGATAAATAAGCTTAAATTCATCTAACTATTCCCTTACTGCTGGACATATAGGTGGCATCCAATCTTCAATTATGGACAATTAATGTTATAAGTTGAAATGCATCCCTCAAAAAAATATGTGCTAAAAGCCTAAGCTCCAGTACATCAGAATGCAACCTGACATAATTGGTTAAGAGAAGTTCATACCATGACTGGTAATCTTAAGAATGGGGACATTTGGACCCAGGCAAAAAACACCATTTGAAAATTGAGGCAAAGATCAGGTCCTGTATCTGCAAGCCAAGAACACCAAAGGTGGCCCACAAGCCACCAGAAGTATGGAGTTTTGAACAGATTTTCCCCTCAGTATTCAGAGGCAAATTTTTGTTGCCTACCAGGACTTTTGGCCTCCTGATCTGTGTGACAGCAATTTTTTATTGTCTAAATCTCCCATTTTGTGGTAATTTGCTATAGTAGTCTTAGGAAACTAATTAATATATGTTTATCACTTTTATTTGTATATTTGATAATATAATTAGTTTAAATTTAAGGGTAGAAACACTAAAATTAAAGGATATTTTAAAGTTTGTAGCTATTTAGTGTCCTAGCAACAAAACTGCTAATTCCAATCTTTGCCAGATTAACAGGTGAATTATAGTATCATTTTCATTTCCATTTTCTACTCTTGATGAGATTATTTTACATTTTTTGTAATTTTAATAACTATTACAGTGGTTTTACATTTGAACATTTAATAAATTGTCTTAGTTGTAATCGTATTCCAGTTGATTATTTTTATTTTTTCAGTAGCCAGTGGTTTCATCCAGAAATAAAAATTATGAAAATAAGAGTTAACATTTATTGAGTATATCCCACATGCCAACCACTATTATTTTTCATGTGGAGCAATATAGCAAACATTTGAATTAGATGTTTTGATTTCCAATATACAGATAGTAAATGGGATAAAGAATAAATGAATTTTATGGAAGAAAATAAAGAAGTTTAATTAAAAAAGAATAAATGAATTTTCTTAAGAACATCTATGTGCTAAGTAGCCACGCAGGGAGGGAGTCTAGGAATGTGCCTTTAACATACTCTATTACATGCCATTCCCACTCTGTTTACCTTTCCAATAGATATTTATTCCTTGTCACTTGGGAATGAGTGGAATTCCCAGAACAATATTTTCAAAGGGTTGTTAAACTGAACATTCATGTCTTTTTGTTTCAAATTAATTGTTAGAGTGGCCATAATTTCACTTGTCAATGTAATTTTGTTTGAAATCCTCTTCAAGGTAATAATAAATTGTTAGTAGCATGCAAAAAAAAAAATTCTGTATCAGAAATAAGGCTTTCCAATTTTAAATAAGACCTCAATACTTCCCTCATCCGAGATGTCATTATATGTAAGAGTTGACAAAGCAATGACAAAGAAGTAATTACAGTGAGTGATAATAAAAAAATTGATATTAGAAAAATACAACTATTTTTTTTTCCTTACCACTGAATCAGAATGCTGCTTTTTATAGTCTTCTACACAGGGAGGAAGATATTTTCTTCCAAAAAGATGTGCCAACACTATCACTAACTTTTCCATCACAGTTTCAGAAAATTTCTTTGGGCCTGTTTAAAATAAAGAGTTTATTTTTCCAAAACTTCACAGAAAGAAAAATCATCATTTTATTAGGAAAATACTGAGTCAATTTTTAATATCCACTCTAAAAATTTTAAGGTAAGACACATTTGAAAAATTTATTTTGCAGATGTTTAGTGAATTTTTAATAAATTATAATAATATGTATCATAATACAAGCAAATTCACTCCCCATTGTTATAAATGGTTGGTATCCTTCTACCTACTCTGAGCTTTAAGAATCTAATAAAAAAATACTCTAAAAGAAAACAAAACAAACATTTGCCTTGAAGTTAGAGAATTATCTTGGATTCCATCATTGGCTTCAAACCTTCCTTTGCTTCTTTGTTCCATTGTTTTTCCATCTCTGTTCAGAAACTTTTAAGTAAGAAAGGGTTTACACTGCTTTCCAAATTCCTTATCTGCCACACAAGGCCATAGGCTAACCTACATACTTTTTCTCTTTGGCACATACTACAATCCAAAAAGAGCTGACTTCTGCTCCAGCTGACAAGCCTTTGCTTCTGGTATTTTCACTCCCTGGGATATTTAACTCCCACATTTGTATGTGTCCAAATCCTGTAGCATTTTAGAAACTAAGTGTCCTTGAGGAAAAACTCACATTTGATTGCTAGATTTTTATCTGCCCCAGTATTAGACAGAGTTGTGCCCACCCTGATAACCACTTCATCACAGTTATCATAGTCAAGAAACAAATGAGAAAGTGACACATTACCCATGAGAACTTGAAACAGGACACACCTGCCTCACACTTTGGGAGAAATGCAGAGCATTAAGAGTGAAACTTCCAATTTCTTTTTTTTTTTAAAGATTTATTTGTTTTTATAGAAGAACCATGGTACAGGCCAGATGTGTGGGAGAGTGAGAGGATTCACCTGAGACAGAGCGGGGAACAGAACAGGCAGACTGACTGAAATACACGGCTGAAGGGAGCAGCAGGTGAGACAGGAGAGGTCTGCCATGCCATGTGGGTATCTCCACGGCCAGCTGGGATTGAACCCACGCTGCAGAGGCTGCAGACAGCTTCACAGCACTGCGCTCAACCGCCTGCGCCACCAGAGAGGCCCCAAAACATCCAATTTCAAGTTAAAAAATAGTCAATTTGGTGTGTTTACACTAATAGCTTTACAGAAAATTTTTTTCAGTTTATTCTTTAATATTGTGAAATATCACACACAATAATTGTGGAATTAGTAAATTTCAATAATGACTACTTTCTGTGATCCTTCCATGGAAATATAAAGATTCCAATGGGTTAGACTTTATCATTTGATCTCTTAGAAGTTCTAAGGCATATCAGATGTTATTTTAATTATTTTTATATTTTTATATTCTTGCATTATTATAATAAAGTGGGTAATTTACCAAAAGTATAACATACGTGGAATATTACCTGTATATGCTATTCCCAGCTATTTGCATTGAGTTTGGATAATATCATTTCATTTCTCTCTATAGTTCATGTCATCATGTAATAATTATAGTAAAGGGAAAATAGTTTATAATTTAAGAAAAGGAAATTGTTATAGATGGCAAAATCTTATGTCAATATATCCCTACAGCTTATATTTGACTTTGAAGTATTACTTCCATATGTTATGATGCAGCTAATAATTAGAACCTAAATATCAGGATATCATAAGAAACCTAATTTTCATGTTAATGACCATATATAAAAGGACAAAATTAGTGATTTTACATATATTACTGTAATTTATTTCAATAGCTATATATACTAAAAATGTCTCATGAGTTCAGAAGAATAGCCTTTATTATCCTAAGATTTTATTTTGAAATATTTAAAGTCTATTAAATATTAAATGAACTTCTAATTTAAAGTCTATTAAATATATTTGCATTATCATTCGCTACAAAAAATTATACATTACAATTTTAGTAAGCATATTTAATGATATAAAAAATAAGAAAAAAGTCAAAATACATTAATAGAAAAAGCAGTTAGAAAATGGGACACCATCCAAAGTGAATGTAGTCTTAGGGAATGAGTGGGATTATGTTAATACACATATTAGGTCTGTGTGTGTGCAGACGTGTGTACATGTGCATATGTGTATGTGTACACAATTTAATGAGTAGAAGTTTGGAAAATTAATATTTACTTACTTTGTTTCTTTTCTGGAACACACAAATTGTGAAATAAACCTTTTTTCAGTAAGCTTACAAAAACAAAACTTGAAGGTTCATGGTAGTGCAAATGAGACACAAATCCAGAAAATCCAATGGGAATACATTGCTGATTCAGGTAACCCTATAAATCAGTTTTAAAGTGTTAACCTCAGTTTTTAGTTCTCAGAAATATCAAACAAATAAGTTATTAATAAAGCTGAGTTCAGTACAGTACAATTAAATATGAGTGCTAACAGTTTAATGAAAATAGGTATAAATCTTACCTCTGTGACCAAAAATTGCAAAGCATATATAAAATATAATTTTATAATGGTTTTAATCTTTGGTTTCTTGAAGGATATCAATGAATGTTCGAGAACTGATATTGCCTATATATGCAGATACCAAAATACCAAGTTAGATGTTAATTTATAGCATGTCTTCCAAATGTAATATACAAAAGGGCAATGAAATATTTCTATTATAGATCACGGGGCTATACATATATATATATACACATATATAGGTTTATATATAAAATGTATGATATATTTTTTGCATTTTAAATTAGATAGTGCAGATTTCTTTATTATATTACTTACTAAGATTATAATATTTCCTTGAGATATTTCATAGTATTTTCATTATATGTGTATGTAATAAAAAATGTTAACAAAAATGATGGATAAATGAATAATTACAACATAATGTATGAAGGTAAAAGGTAAACATAAGGTAGAACACAAGAATTATTAGCATTTTCATCTTAAACATTCTTCAACCCTTAATTATTTCTTTAAAATTCAATTTTTTAATGTTTATAGATCATGGATATTTACAGAAAAAAAATTTCTAATGTACACAGACTCCAGGAATAATTATAAAAAGGAGATCATAGGCTAATTTCCCATATATTTGAAAACATAAAAGTAACTTTCTGTTGAGTAGGAGTATTGCAAAATAAAATGAAATATTACAGTTTATTTATAGCACACTATTTAGTCCCTTCAGTTTATGCAATTTATTTTAGAATAAAGATGATGTGATCATTATATTTATAAAAGTACTTTAAATAACATGAAACAAAGTACCTTTGCTTTGGCATCCTTTTTGTCATCTGCTTTGGCAACTAGCATCATAAGTCTGAGAATGAATGATATGCTTAAAGGAAATTGACCCTTCAATTTGGCCACATCTGATCTTAAGAGTCTTTCTACCTTGGGTAAAGGTATACCATAAAAGAAGACATTGCCTACAAGATCTTCTCCACGTCTTCCTGCCCGACCAGACATCTAAAGAGAAGATGACATAATTTTTAAGTAATTTCAGACTTTTTCTCTGTAAATGGTTAGTGTTTAATTTGCATAAATCATATAAAATATTGAACTTCCAAAATCCTGAAAGAGTTCTTTGTTGTTTGATAGAGTAATTTTAGAAAAGTTTAAAATATTATTTTATCTTGTGAACACATTATTAAATTGTATATATCTTTGTTTATTAATACCTATGTTTAAAGATGATGAATTTTTGGGAGGGTCAATTTTTAGTCTCATTTATAAATATATTTCTAGAAACCAGCCTAAACTAAGAACAGTGTAAACACCATCTGGCACAAATTGGATCCTCAAAAGATGTGGTTATCTCTTCAGAGTATTTTTGTTTAAGTTGAATAATATTTATCAAACAGAATTATTCTCAAGTAAATTAATCTGCTTTGTAAATGATGGCTTAAGACATCTTTAAATACAATAGTATTCATAAGAGGTTATATACCTCTTATATAACCTAGAGCTCATTTTCAAATATTTTTACAGTCACTGTTTCAGAGTATATAAAAATAAATATCCTGGCTTAATGAGTGGATGTTCCAGATTCCTATGTATACAAGAAGAAATGACATGTAGTATAAATACCTGACGAAAGTTCAAGGCATCCAAAAAACAAGAGTCTTCAGTAAAAACAACAGATTTACATGGCATATTAATTCCCAATGCAAGGGATGAGGTAGCTATTACCACCTGTGGGTGTATATTAAAAAAATTAGAAAACAATCACATAGGTTACATAGATGTACACATAGGCATTACATATTTACTAGCTTAGAAAGACCACTGGAATCTAATGTGACAGAAAAATTCAAACTCCATATTTTCTTTTGTAAGAAAAAAATAGATGTCTCATAGAGATATGCATTCATTTAAATGTATGTCCTTACTCTTACAATTATCTAACATTATCAGATTATAAAATGACGTGAAATCAAAGCTATTCGGTAAGGATTCATTTTTTGGATTTTTTTTTTCCATTAGTAAAGGCAATCAGTTTTAAATAAAAGGAAGTTTACTTTTACATTAAAAAATTCTTAAGGGCCTCCCTGGTGGCACCAGGAGTTAAGATGCAACCTATGAAGCTATCCACAGTCACTGCAGCACAAGTTCTATCCCCAGCCAGGGAAATACCCCCATGGCACAGCAGACCTCTCTTGACTTGCCCACTGCTCCCCTCAACAGTGTATTTCGATCAATCTGCCTGTTCTGTTCCCCACTCTGTCTCTGGTGAATCCTCTCACATACCTCCCCACACCTCTGGCCCGTACCCCAAACAACCTAAGAGCTCATCAATGGATCAAAGGATGAAAATGTAGTATGTAATGTGTGTGTGCATGCATATATATGTGTGTATTTATATAGTATATATATATATATATATGTGTGTGTGTGTATATACACATATATCCACATACACACAATACATACACACAATAAAACTAATCAGCTCTAGAAAAAAAAACAGATGGAGGATCACAATTGGTGAAAACTTGGATGACTGAGAGTTACACAAGTGAAATAAGTCAAATGAGAATAATGAACATTATAAGAGTTGATTCACATGTGGTAGATAAAGAAACAAAGCAAATGAACAAACAACAAAATAAAAACAATTTTTATATTGTGACAACAGAATGATGACTACCAGAGGGGAGGAGTTAATGGGTGTTACGTGAAACAGACAGAGGGGTCAATTGTATGGTGGTGGATGTAAAGTAGACTCTTGGTGTTCATCGCAATGTTGCACATACAGATGTTGAAATGTAAAATTATATACCTTTATATGCAAAATTATAAGCCAATGTCATCTCAAAACAATTTAATATTTGCAGAATGTTTCATAAATCATATATATGTATATGTATGTGTATATATATATATAAAATGGAGCATTTGTAAAATTCTTATTATCATATGTCAACTAATAAAATGCTAATTATATACTATAAGGGAGAGTGAAGAGTACCCTAAATTATATGTAACATATAGTGATTTAAACACTTATTTTAAAGTATTATATGCTAAAATATTAGTATAATATCACTGTAAGTGGAGAAATTATAGGGACATTAGATAGCGTGTGTTCCCTGAATACTGTAGGGTATATTTCTTCCCCCTACTCAGTCCAAAGAAAGAAGGGGGTGCTGTTAGTACAGTTATACTCAAACGTCACCAACCTTAATGTAATTCTGTCTGAAAAGCAACTCTACAACTTCTCTTTCTGCATGTTCCATTTTACCATGATGATATCCAATGCCCCTTTTTAATAGATCGCGTAGCTTATAGCCTTGTCTTGTTTCCATCAGTTTATTTAAGAGCTCCGTTAAAGTCTGAAATCACCAAAGAGTTTAAGATAATAAATGAAATTATGTATCTTTGACTTTAACAATGAGGTAAGAGTTAAAAGATTGTTTAGAAATCACTGCAGAGTTAGACACACTTTTAAAAAGAGTAGTTGTGTTTTATCCCAGAACCTGAAGCCTATCTGAACAATAAAATGCCTGATATGTGGCATTTAAACAGAATAATTCCACAGTGCCTGGCATTCATGCTTGGTATCTGATACAGGGAACACAATCCAACTTCCTATGTGATGATCGTGTCTTCATTTCCTCATTGGAAACATACCCCATCTTGTCCCCTCTATGCACTGAGTGGTGGAAGCCCTACCTTGCTCCCAAAGTGTTAAAGCATTGGTCATAGCTCTAAGGAACTGACTAAGGGCTCCAACTCAGTTTGGGCAATGAACAATGAACGGAATAGTTACGAATTCTAAGAGATGGCTGAGCTCTGTGAGGCTAGCTCCAGAGTGCTCTGAGGCTAATTACCAAAACCATGCAGCCAAACTTCTCAGCTTTGACTGATTTTCTACCACCCCGACTTGTTCTATTTTTGCTGTTGATTTGTACCTATTTTAATATGTCTCCTTTATTACCTCTCTCCCCTGCTCTTTCTTTGTGTTCCTGTCTTTCTGTGTTTGTTATCTTTGTGTATATTCACTGTTTCCTTCCCCTATCTTTTCCTCTTTCATTAAAATGTCCTATGTCTGTTTCTTTTTGTCTCTCTGTGTCAGTCACTATTATTTCTTCTTTCCTTCTCTTTCTCACTTTTTTTCTTTTTCCCTCTTTTTTCTCTCCCACATTCTGCCTCTCTTTCTCCCTCTCTCCTATGAGTTAAAGAAGCAAGCATAAACAAGTAATGAGCACAGTTCTCTAACTACTACATGAATGATGATATTAACCAACAAATTTATGAGCACACATTGTTTAGTGTAAGATATTAAAGAATTAGGCATAGCAAGATAGCAGCCATTTTAAGAAAAACAGACATTTTAAAGGGCACAGCTATGCCCTAGTTTCGTTTCAAGGCAAAAACCACCAGATTGGGGTAAAAACCACAAGACAATGGTAAGCGAAACTTAACCAGTGCCAAGGAGAGATACACAATCAGGCCGAACTTGGTCCCTGGTGTGAAAAGTCCCCGCATCCTGTCAGCAAAGTACAAAAACAGTTGGTTGCTCTGGGAGGAGGTCCCTCTCCCAACCTGGTGAGACTGCTGTGTCAGTACTCCGGGCAGAGTTGGGCCTTAGCTTAAGCTAACAATAAAGCCTTTTTGCTTTTGCATCTCTGGCTCCGTGTAGTCTTTGGGAACCCCGGATGGAGTTGAGGTGCTAACTCCTAACATTAGGAGGTTCTAGAATTAAATTTTTGAAGGAGATGTGGGGTACAGGAGAAGTAAAATACAATAATGACTCTAGAGATACCAGTTTGAAAAGCTATGTACAAGGTAGATACAAACAGAGGAAGAACTTTCAGAAGACAGATGCATCTGTCTTTGAGAAAGGTTGCTGCTCAATCCTGTAACTCAGAAGAGATTTTTCATTTAATTTTTGTACTTCTGTCCACATAAGGAATAGTTATAATTAAATTAATGACGGAAATCTCACAAGGTAAAAAAGTTCTAGATGTTGGAATCATACCGCGGCAGGATTCTTCATGCTGTTTTTAACAGCTAGATAAGCTTACACAAATTCTCTAAATTTCTCCAATCTCCAACTCTAGTTTCCCATCTATTGTTTCAAGGCTAATGTGCGTTAAGTGTGTTGTGCACTTTTAAAATTGTGTATTGGGTATCAATATTGACACATACACATATTTTTTATGGGCTGAATTGAGTTCCTCTTAAAATTCATCTGGAAAGTTCCTAAACCCCAGTACCTTAAAATATGATTGTATTTGGAGACCAGGTCTTTACAGAGGTAATTAAGATAAATTAAGTCATTATGGTAGACCCTGATCCAATATGACTCATGTTCTTATAAGAAGAAAATTGGACACAGATACATACAGAGAGAAGACTGTGAAGATAAAGACAGAAGATGGTCATCTACAAGCCAAGAAGAGAGACTTAAACAGTTCTTTCCTCACAGCCCTCAGAAAGAACCTGTCCCACTAGCACTTTGTTCTTGAACTTCTTATCCTCCATAACTGTGAGAAAAAACATATCTGTTTAAGTCACTTAGTCTGTGTTATTTTGTTACAATAGTGTTAGCAAACCAATACCTGCGGCAGCCTGAACGCCAGTGAACTTACTGGAAAGAGGGAGGCTTTCACTCAGACACATAGTACATCTGAGTGAATAAGACCCCCTTCCCCTGTGCGCTGGACTGGACAGTCAATGACGGGTAAGATCGGGGGCAGACTAAAGAAGGCACTGGCCAGCCGCATGTCTGCGACTCCTGACGACCTAAGACAGGCGCAGTCCCCGAGGGGCTTCGTTATAATAATCTTTGGCGTTCAAATCAGACAAATGTCTAAAGGCCTGTAAGCCTAATCCAGGCATTAAGCCCGCAGTAAAAAAACCCCTTCTTTTGGCTGAGGACATGGCTACTGCCTGATGGAGTCACCAACAAAACGGTTTAACTATTAACCAGTTGGTCATTGTTCCTGCATAAGAAGCAACATAGCAACCAGTCTATAATTATACTATTTTCTTACCTACTTTACTTTTTCTATATATGTGTAAAATCAGTTTCAGGAAATGCATGATGAAGAAAATAGTGTGTGGTAAAAGCAGTTTCAGAATAATCATAATGCTTCTCACGAGTCAAAACCACAAAAATTAAATACTTACATAGAAAAAACATTGTTTGTGATCACTAAAAGTAAAATATAACAGTAGTTAAATATTAATACTTTCTGATTATTAGTCGTATTGGAAAAGAAACAAGAAAAACTAACTTAAGAAATGCTGTTCTGTGTAATCAAAAATAATTGTGTAGAAATAGATTCCTGTAATCAGAACCTTGCGATTGTTTAGCGTTCCATGCCATGGAACATAGATCACATGTAACTGAATGATGAAGTAAATGTCTATTGTATGACTAAACATCTCATGCTGAGAAAAAATCAACTTGTATGAAATCATCCTTTGTTAAAAGAGGTATAAAAGTGTAAGATGATTTAAAGCACATTACATTCAGATCTTCACTCTTGAAGTGTGTCTGTCTGTCATTTCTGCGCCGAATCCTTGACCGCCTAGCTTAGTCTCTCATCCCTGGGTCAGCCTTGCTAATCTGCCACTGCGCCGGTCCGCGGCAAATACCCAAGACCAAATTTATCTCAGTTTCTTTTCTCTTACCTCATCATCCACAGCTGTATCATCAGCATAGCTACAGTCTGGAGAAATTTCAGTGTGTGTTTCAAGATAGTTTTCTTTTTCCTTCTTTTCAGCCTTCGATATAATTTCTCTCTGGTGCTTAGCATCTGAATCTAAATGTGAAGAACTGAATATAAAGTATCAGGAAAATCAATGAATATACTGGTTATAGCACTTATTTTTTAATATAAGATTATGTCTATAAATATCAGGTAAAAAAAATGTCAGATTATTCAAACCCAAAACGCAATTACCTCTATTAGATGATATTTATCAGGCATTAAATAAACTAAACCTAACTAAACTAAATTAAATTACTTGCATATCTGTTTACCATATAAGCATATTTTAAATGTATGCATTAACATGTACTTAACAGGAAACAGAAAAACAGTCTACTTCTCTTATCTCTCATGCCAAACAAATATTTATTTTATATATCCAATAAAATTCTATTTGTGACATTAAACTTGATGAAAAAGTCAATTTGCAATTCTAAAAAAACATTTGTAATTTGTACTTCTAAAATAAAGGAAGGAGGCTAATACAATGAAGAAAATTATTTTAAGCTAAGCTTTGGAAACAACCCAAATGCCCAAAAATAGATGACTGGATCAAGAAGATGTGGTACATATATACCATGGAATATTACTCAGCATTCAAAAAAGATAAACACATGCAATTTGCAGCAACATGGATGGCGCTGGAAGGGATCATGCTCAGCGAAATAAGCCAGAAAGAAAAAAAAAAATATCGGATGGTCTCACTCATAGCAGGAATCTAGAAAACTTAAATAAGGGACCAGGAAAATGAATAACTATAAGAAAGTGAAAATCAAAATCAACAAAAAACTATGAACCAGAGACACTTTTTGGGGGGTGGGGGCGGGAGGGGAGGGATTGGGTTCAGAATGGGGGGGCTGCAATTGTATGGGGAATATAAAAATAAAATTTATTGTTTAAAAAAAAAGAAAATTATTTTAAAACATTGCATAATTATCAAAATATTCAACAGTTCTCTCCTACATGTGCCCCCAAAAGTGAAGTGCAATTAAATTTACATCACAAAACCATAAAGCCATATCTTCACATTATGGAAACAGATTTGAATTATAAAAAGAGCTGAACACTCATTTTTTTATTAAATATTTAATTTCACAATTCAAATAGAAACACACGGCATCTTTCCTTTTTTGAGACTTCTTCACTGTCAAAACATCCATGTTCAAACTTTTCTGTTTTTTAGAATTTGGACCATTATTAGTATTTTACCGTTTTTCCAAATTGCGAAAAAGTTCTAAAGCTGATGCTTCCACTCCACGAATGTTGAATCTGGATTAAAAACATGGGACAGTTTTTGAAAATTGTGAGTTCATATCACTGTCAACCTGTTCACTTTAATAAATTTTTGGCAGCAATAATATTTAGGTAATATTATTCTGTTTATATTTATTTTGCCCTTTCAATTCCCAATTCAGAGTGTGTGACTAGAAGAAAAGATTACAATTTTTCAAACAGGCTCAATTTTAAATTATAATGAACAAAATGATTGCTTATGTAAGGGTTTTTTCTTTACTGGATAAAACTGCTTCCTTCTCCATTTTAAGACACTCCCTATCTTAAGATCACGAAATACTCCTGAAGCAGATTAGTGATTTGTTGTGCTCTTAGTAAGTATACGTTTTCACTATTAAATGCAGTTTGAATTAGGGATTTTGTGATACTTTTGATGAATAATTTTGTACTTCATACTCTGCTCAATCTTTTGTCTTTGTTCAAAGACTTTCCTGTTCATTACAGGTAAAATGAAATGCATATTCTTCCTATAGGACTTAAATGACCTGAGATTACTCATTTAATTATAAAGTTTGCATATTTATTGATTTTGTTTTTCCCCGTTAAAGTGATACATTAAACTAAAGCCAAAAAGATTTTTCTTAGCATATTTTATGCTTTTTAAGATAATAAAAACAAAACCTACTAAAATAATATTTAGTGATTATTATATTAAAAGATGGCTGTTAGTTAATTTGTTCTGCCTAATTTGGCATTTGATATTTTAATCAATATCTTTTATAAGTGGATATAAACATTCATACACTTCATTTATATACATATAAGGCCTATAAAAGGGTGGGTATATATACATATACAGATAAATTATAAAAAATTCATAAATTAAAGTAAATTCAACCCATAGTTATTCTTTTCTATCATACATATGATACATATGAGATCTATAAGTTATATACAAAATAGAAATGAGGAAGAAAGCTTACATAAAATCATGTACATTTTGTTCATAAGTTTCTCATGTGTCAGTTTGTGTAGGAGAAGGTCATGTTTGGTTTCAAATTGGGTGGAATAAATTAGATCTAAGTGCCAAGTCCTTCCCTCTTTTCTCTGCCTAGCATAACTACACTTTGAGACCAGTTCTTTCATGAAAATGTGTCTGAAACACCCAGGCCGGGCCTCCCTGGTAACTCAAGGGGTTAAGCACAGCATTGTGAAGCTGTCTGCAGCCTCTGCAGCACGAGTTGGTTCCATGGTCGGTGATTCTTGACCAGCCAGGGAGCTACGCACATGGTGCAGCAGACCTCTCCTGTCTTGCCCACTGAACCCCTCAGCAGTGTATTTCAGTAGATCTGCCTGTTCTGTTTCCCACTCTATCTCTGGTGAATCCTCTCTCACACACATGCCCATCCACCCCCCACACCTCTGGCCTGTACCCCAGTTCTTGCATAAATAGATAAATCTTTAAAAAAAAAAAGAAAGAAAAGAAAAACCCAGGGCATTGTATCATTATTTCTAATAACTAATGGGCTAGAGAATTCTATGGCACTAAACTATGGAATTAGAATTTGAAATATAATTTAATCAAAGAAGTTTTCCTTCCTCTCACACTATTATAGCCAACTTGGTACAATAATTTGACTTTAATATAAACAGATTTAAAATTCCTCAAGATTCTAATAATATGAATCAGGTTATAAATCCTTCATCAATTATTCTTTTCAAAAGACTTCAATTCCCACAATGTAAAATATAATATATTAAGCTGAATTTCAATATCATATCCACAGACATTACTTACATAAAAAATATTGCAGGCAGCCTGTCCATTGTTTTCAGTTTTTCCACAAAATGTGGAAACATTTTTTGCTTGTCACTTTCTGCACAGTCAAACGTTTGCGGTTTAAGGAAATTCAGTAACTGATTCACCTGAATAAAATTATAGGTAACAAGCAGATCAGTAGATATTTGTAAATGTGGATAAAAGATAACATCAGCTGACATTTGAGACTGAAAATCCAATAGACAAGGCTTAGTGCATTTTCTATGGAAGAAGTTTAGAATTTTATCTACATCATGCACTACATATTTTTAAATAAAACTAAAATCTCAGAAAACTCACAGGATATATTTCCATATTATTGTAAGCAAGTCTGTATACCATTGCATAGCATCTACTGAAGGGGATGAAGACTGTCACAAATAGATGTTAGTTATGACCAGGGTGCGTATGGGGTACAATATGCATAACTTTCACATAAGTAGAATTAACATTACTCAGAATTCTAAAATACAAAGCACAGATTATATGTCTTCCAAATTTGTCATTTTATTTTTTCACCCTAACCAATATTGAAGAAGGTATTAATAACAAAACTAAAAATGGCAGTTGCAAACCAGGGTGTCTGGAAAAACTAGGAAACATGAACAAACAGTATTACTTAAAAGGAGAATTTAGCTAACTTCCCAAGCATTTAGGAGCCCAGCCCTGAGAGACATGACAGATCAAGTATTGAACCAGATGGTCTACTGATGCTAGTCTAAATGAGATACAACTGCTTGAATTATCCAAACTATATGTGCCATTTTTCCTTACCTTTTTTGCTTATGTTTATGTGATTTATACAATTTACCAATTTATTGAATAATTAAATGCATCTTATAAATTCAAACAAGCTCAACACAATCTTGTTATTTCCTCTCCTCCATCTGCTGCATCAGCCTGAAGAAGCCCCTCTCAGAGTCATCCATGCTATTGTGAGGTAGAAGCTGATCAACACCACAAGAAGCTGGAGATTTCAACCTTCCTTGCCCTGAGCCTGTGGCCTGTGAGATGACCTCCACCAGACCTCAGTATCTCTAGCTTCAGTAGAGAAAGCAGAAATATGAAAGGAAATTCCTGAGATGCAGTTTGTTCTGCCTTTAAATAGAGGGCTGTTTTTTTTTTTGTTTTTGTTTTTTTTTGTAATACTGTTGTCCAATATTTTGAGAAAAAAAAATTATCTGTTATGTAGTTTTTCTGTAGACAAAATGGGATGGAAAGAGATATGTCAGTACAGAAGAAAAATATGGAATTTCCTGAAAGTTATAGTAATCCTTTTGAATGTGTTACCTGGACTTTCAAGACTGTGAGAGAAATTTTTAAAAAGCAGTAAATGAGAGGAGGATTTCTAATTATGAAAGGCACTGCTGGCTGCCATGAGCCATGTCATAAACTCATAAGGAAGGAAATCCTAGTGCTTGCTGCAGAGGGTAATGAACAGAAGTAGTTGGAGCCCAGAGGTTTGCTGCTTTGTAGGAAATTGTAAATTAAGAGGACTTCCCTTAGAAAATTTAGTTTAATCTAGGCTGGCATTTAAGTATCCAAGTATGTTAAAAGTTAGGTAATGTCATTGGTACACCTAAGATTCTTAGCCCTGACTAAACATTAAAATTATAGATAATGTTTTCAATTTATAGTGCCCCAGACCCTTGCAAGACAAATCAAATCAGAAGGGAAACCTGTACTCCTATGTTCATTGCAGCACTATTTGCAATACTCAAGCTATGGAAACAACTTTAACTGCCCCAAGTCAGATGAGTGGATCAGGCAGTGTGATACATATACACAAAGAAATATACATACTCAGCAATCAAAAAAAAGACTCTTGCCATTTCAGCAGCATGTATGGAGCTGGAGGGGATGATCATAAGCAAAATAAATCGCAAGGAGAAAGACAAATACCCAACCATGGCAACTGTATGTGGAATATAAAGAAACCAAAGGGTCAGATAAAGCCAAAGTAAGAACTACCCCTAGAAAGGTGACTGAAGAACTGAGGCTACTCAAGAGGAGTTGGTGGAGAGAAGTGAACCAAATGGCGATGGAGTACAATGGACTATGGTGGTGGACTATGGGTATTTTGATGGTGGGTGCAGTGTGGTATGTGGGAAATCCTATTCTTATAAAAAGTTATAATGATATAGTTACAATGATATAAATTATAATGCTATAAACAATGAAAAAAGTTATAATGATATAAATCAATGTTACCTCAATCAAAAAAAAAGGGGGGGCCTCCCTGGTGGCGCAGCGATTGAGTGCAGCACTGTGAAGCTGTCCACAGCCTCTGTAGCACAGGTTCAATTCCTGGCCGGCCAGGGAACTACCCACATGGCGCGGCAGACCTCTCCTGTCTCGCTCGCTGCTCCCCTCAGCAGTGTTATTTCAGTCAGTCTGCCTGTTCTGTTCCCTGCTCTGTCTCTGGTGTTCTGTTCCCTCCCACACATCTGGCCTGTACCCCAGTTCTTGTATGCATGAATAAGTAAATCTTTAGAAAAAAATAGGGGCCCACATGCAGAGTGCTTTATCCAAAATATTTTTTTTTCCTGCGTCTCCCAGCAAAATACTTTTTATTTCAAATTTTTTTAAAACACCAATCAAATTAGAATTTTTAAAGATGAGACAAAACTCCACAGGTGATTTCAAAATGCAATCATGTTGACAAGCTTCATTGAATAAAATAGCATTTTTGGCACTAAGTGCTTTTCAGACTTTCAAATCAGGTAGTCAGCCAAAGTCAGTGTGCAATTAAAATTTAAAGCAAAGCATGGGTTGCTTTTTAAGAGGAATGAGAGGACAGGAAATAGGGACAGATTGAAATTTTATTTTTATTAACTGAGCTAGTGCTAATGAAGAAATGATCAGATCTTAACCAAGACTTAGGACCCAAAACGTTAAAAATATTTGCAATTGCATGTTAGTATATGTGAATGAGTTGAACCATATTGCTTTCCTTATAACTGTTCAATTAATTAGCTCTAGGTAACTTTGGACATGTGCTACTGCTCATGAGAAAGAAATAATTTTTAAAAAGTGAAGTATCATCAAGTTTTTCTATGATCAGAAAAAAATTGTCACAGAAAATATCTTAAAATAGTAAGATAAATAATGCTTCAAATTTCTCCTATCTAATTTGTTGGCAACAGTGAGAAAGTGGGCATTCACGTATCAAATAACTGAATGGTCACGCTTGGGGAAATACTAGCAGGGAAAAAACAAGGAAATAACCCAGTAGTGTCAGAAATTGGAGAACTCCTATCTTCTATGAAAAAAATTGCCCAACTTTAGTTTTATTATCTCAATGTGACTCAAAAAGAACATGGTACCAGCACATGTGGGTTGTCCAAGATAGAAGTCAAGTAATAACTTTGCATTTTTCCACTTGTAGCTAACAAAATTTAGGGTAAAATTGCAGTGCATGGTTATGAGATAGCCATCTTCAAATCCTCAAGTATTTTTTGGGTGATTCACCAGTGGTGAAGAAGACCAATTCACTCCATATTTTTTTTTTTTTACTATTTAAGTGAATCTAAAGGGTTTTAATTACCTTGCTTGGGTCCAGCTCAACCCAACAAATAATTTCCTTTTTAAGTTCCTCTTCATATTTCTTCACATCAGCCTTTTTGATGACTAATTTATTTTTGAAGCAGCTGAATTCTTCAGGTTCTAATTCCTTGAAAATGAAGAATCACAAATCCCCAGGAAAATGAAGTCATCACCCCTTTAAAGTTTTCCATCTACATCACTATAAAGTAAATTCCTCAAGTGATCAATACCCATTCAAATTCAGGAACAAAGTTAACTGCATATAAGGTGGTAGTTTTGGTCTCTATAAAATGGTAACATATTATTCTGTTTTATTAGAAACTACTACATACAATTATTTTTAAGACTGCAGTTTGTTTTAGAGGCAAAAAATCAAATTGTCTAATATGTTTATTTTTAAAAATACGTTTTCTTCCCATTGCAATGCACTATTCTAAGCATTTTACAAATAAAAATTCAGTCTTCATATGAACTCTACAAAGTAAAGCTTATCATTTTTAGCAGGGAGAAAAAGTAGATAGAGAGAAAATTTAATTTGCCTCTAGTTTATAATCTTAACAATGAAATATGCTGCCATTAGCTATATCAGAATAAATGTGTTTCATCAACTTGCTCATTATAGATGAACTCTCATAGTCAAAGAATTAGAGATGTCATAGTGTATAGTGAGTGTGTGCATATACACACACACACACACACACAAACACACACAAACCTGCATTCTTGGCCATTCTGGCCAAATGTGTACCATAGCATCATAAAACAGTATGCTTTCCTGAGGGGAAAATCCAAGGTCTAAAGGGATTCCACACTTCTTTATCTAAGAAACATAAAATAAGAAATTACTAATTTTGTATCTCATATGCAGATTTTTAACAATATAGATAATTAGCCATTTTCCAAAGTGGTTGATACTTACATGATTGACAGTAAGTGCAGCAAATGGGTGATAATGTTCAATGAGAAATTCATTATCCTTTAGGGAACACACATACTTTTCAACATCATTGTATCGCTCTTTGTGCCACACTGTAAATACAGAATTGAAAAGATCAATAAGATCTGTTTACTTTCAAAACAAGGATGTAATCTGATTTTACAACTGCAAGCAGACATAGGGAGAATTATGAAGGAACCCACTGGAAACAGAGCTGTGCACTGGGGAAAAACCTTGAAAGAGGATTCAATGTACTTATACTGTATCTGCGTATCTGTGCTTTATTTGTTCCTGCTCATAGTCTTCAACCGTAGTCTATCACTTTTTTTAATGGAAGAAATGGACATTATTTCAAAATAGATAATTTTGGGGAAATTTGGAACTTCGAGTTTAATACACCCACTAATTACTACCTGTGTGGATTTTAGTATGTTATTTCTCCTAAGGCCAAGTCTCTTACTTTATTTTCTTTTAGGGGAAAATAAAATTGATTTCAAAGTTAGAGTAAGGAACAATTTGTATTAATATATAAAACTTTAATATGTTGCAAGCATGTCCAGAGCTCAAGAATTCTGAGTTCTTCTTCTCTTATGTTAAAATAGTCATACCCAGTCTAACTCTGTATGATGCGACAGTTCTTTTTTTTACTGGTTTCTCCGAACCTTCTGAGACATTTTGTGATGGTCTGGAATTTTCCATTGTGCTCTCAACATGTTGCCAGTATCTTTTTGTTAACACCAACCACCTAGTTATTAAAAAGAGAAAAGTATTACATTGTCACAGAAAAAAAATCACTTTCTAAGAAAAATCATTGAAATGTGATTTTTAAAAAATAAAAATTTTCCCTAAACTTTGAATATATTAAAATTACATTTATATTCACATAGTTTACTCAGTTCCTACTGCTATATAATCATCAAGAACTGATATTTTGCAATTCCCCCATGAAATACACTACCAAATATAGCAGTCATATCTATTTCTACTACAGGTGTTAACCAATTTTGTAAACATTTACTGGTATTTTGCATAGGAAAGTCATGGGTATAGTATATTGGAAGAAGAGGTATAAACTGCCTTTGAAAATTCTCTGTGAATCTAAACATCAAAATATAGACAGGCAAATTAAGTAACTCAAAAAAATTCTTGCCAGGTAACTGTGTAATTTACATTTAGTCAAAGGGTGAAAGGAAATGTTTTCTAATTAAATATAACTGAAAAAATAAGTGTTACTTTGTGTGTGGTTAGGGGGTGGTGTTTGTTTGCTTTAGATATTACCTTAAATAATCCATGAGTGGGTAAAATTTTCCATCCATCAGTGGAGACAATAATGAATATAAAAATCAGACTTACTCAGTGAGATGGTCAGGATTACTGATAGTAGCAGAAAGTGCCAGAAAGGGACACCGAATCATAACTAGAAGATGTTCCCAAACTTCTCCAACTTCTCCCCCAAGACTGTGAACCTAGCAAGATGGTTATATAGCCTCAATAGAAAACCAGTTAAAGTTTTCCCCAAAAATGTTAATAGATTGTGTTACCAGAAATTTCTATTTCCTTCTTCTCCCACATTCAGGAAAGTTTATTTACCCACTGACAAAGTTGTTCAGGGTCCAACATAGTTGAGAAGCATTAAAGTAAATTTGAGAGCCTCCCTGGTGGCGCAGCGGGTTGAGCGCAGCGCTGTGAAGCTGTGCAGCTTCTGCAGTACAGGTTCGATCCCGGCCAGCGAGGGAGATTCCCACATGGCACTGCAGACCTCTCCTATCTCACCCACTGCTCCCCTCAGCAGTGTATTTCAGTGGAAATACACTGTTCTGTTCCCCACTCTGTCTCTGGTGAATCTTCTCACCCTCCTGTACATCTGGCCTGTACCCCAGTTCTTGTATGCATAAATAAAATAAATAAATCTTTAAAAAAAATAAATTTGAGACTTCAACCATAAAATATCTAGAGATGACTTGCTTTATTATGTATTACAACAGGCTGAATTTTAAAAGAGTATTACATGCCATGGTAATAATCCTCAGATACAAGAATAAGTAAACGAAAACATATTTTGTCTTATTTACAAATAAAATATTGGTTAAATTATGAAGACTCTCATAGATATAACATCTCTAAAAGTAAAGAAGTCTTGTCACTAATCTCATCACTGCAATAGAAATAAAACTATTGGAAATAAATTAACTCCTCCTGTCTTCAATCTGTACAGGTACATACAAAACTTTTTCAACATGAGTTAGAAATATAGAGAAGCCAGGAGGCTCCTGCCTGTAATGGGGGCAAAATGAGAGCAGTGATTGACCGTATTTATTAGTTTGCCACAATGATATACGCTATTTCAAAAATATATGGGAAGAACAACTTTGTAAGGCTTGGTCTTAAATAAATGTCTGTAAAATTCTAAAGTAATAATAAACTTTTTAGTAAAATAAGATCCTTGTGTGTGTTGTACACTATCTTTCACATAATAATAAACAGGGAAAAATTAAATAACTCAATTTCGAAAGCCCTGATTTTCCCTGAAGTATTTATCCTTTATAGGATAAATAATCCTTTCATAGATTGCTATGAAGCAGGCACTGTGGAGATGTAAGGGAAAGCATTCAGGGAATTTTCAGTCAAAACAGAAGAAAAAGAAAAACACATATAAAGGATATCAGAAATATACTGATAACAAGATCTCTTTAATAAATACATGAGTTGTATTTATTGTGCTAAAGAGTGATTAACTCAAAGATAAATATAGGAATTTACAAGGATAAAAACCTTGCTAGGAGACACTCAGTATTTTAACCAAAGAGGCAAAAGATAAAATTTAATTTTACACAAACATTTTGTGGCTTAGTCATCAGTGCATACATGGTGATAAGTAAATAGAAAAGTGCCATTTAAAAGAAAATTGGCTTAGAGGAATAGAAATTCTCTGTCTGAAAAAAAAAATGCCTATTGCTAATCATTGGTATATCCAATGATTTTTAAGATAATTTTCTCAGTTACTATTCCTCTTAATCTAATATTTGTCCCATTTTTCTCCTTCCAAATATCTTGTAAATCTGGCACTTTATGACACATAATCTATGCCCTCCATAAGTGGAATTAATGGCTATTTTAATAACTACCCACACAAATGCCATCTTTATTAAAATATACAAGTTACATATTTTATATACATAAAAATATGTAGTCAAGTAAAAGTAATGTAAGGCAGCATACCTCATCAAATATGACATATCTCATCCTTTTCACCCACTTTTGACGTTGAGGAGCTAATAAGAGTATTTCTAAACACTGAGGCACTGTCACCAATATCTGTTGAAAAAAATTCAGGGAATCATTGCCTTGATTTTTTTATAAAAGTTGCAGCTTTAACTTCTAAACATTCATTAAATATTTTACATGACACAATGTTTAGGTTGACATTACCATTAAAACAATAATCTCATTTGTGGAAAAATAAATTAGATTTATGTAATATATGTATTGTTGATACATTCAAAAGAAGTTAACCTGCTTTCATTAAGGAAATATTCTCCCATACAGTACACTGCAAATATAAAAATATCACACTTGAAGAAAGCTGCTTCATGTTGAAATTTCAGGAAAGAAAAGCACTCTACTTTGTATAGAAAATACAATTATTTGGATAGTGACCAAATTATTAAGTACGTAAATCATATAAATAATTTATTTAAATGTACATTTATTTTGGGGATAATTATAAATTTATTTTATCCTATATTAATACATTACAGTGCCTACTGGAATGCCATGATGTATGTTATTATTCAGTATGTGTGCATGTCTGTGACGTACCCGACAATTTAAGGCATCATTACGGTAATCTCTTGTGAAAACTCCACACAATGCCTTTCCACTGGGCTGTGCATTGGTAAATAATTCATCGATAGTTCTCACCACTTGGTTGACAAGAGCCTTAAGTAATAAAAGACATAATCTACTATTGAGGCATTATTAACAACACTGAAAAAACTTTTGAAAGCAAAGCAATGTCTGGAATAATCTACATGCAAGATACCACAATAGCAATTTGTATAGTTCTTGATAAAAGAATTACTTTTCAGCAAATGCTTCCTACTGGCTCCACTTTAAAGTTTTGCTTAACATTATATTTATCATGCAGTATTTATTGTGATGGCCAGAAAACAAACACCAACAATTCTATGCCACATCAGTGTGATAGGCGTGTATACGGGAGAAATTAGATGATGTTCTTCTGCAATTGTCTAGTTGGCTACTCAGTGATCAGCAGTTGATAAGGTCACTATGTCTGTTTAGTGAAAGAAATGGATCATATGATAGATCCCGCTCAACATTAACATTCAGAATCTCTTCTCTCAGACCTGCAATTAAGTGTTGTCATAGGGAAAGCGAAAGGCATACCCCGAATCCTTTTCTAGGTGATGAGGGAATTCGGATTTAGCAAGAGCATGTTGACTTATTTTATTCACATTGCTGTAGCACTTTCAACAGTCTTTGATTATTCCTGAATGTATGTCCAACTACAGAGGTGGTAAAAATGAGGACTGCTACTTCTCTCTCTCCGACTCTTTCAAGAACTTGTCTATACTTTCTTAAGTGAAGTAATCCTGGTACAAATATCAAATGTCTTCCTTCAGCAAAATTTTCCAAAGTGTTAGGTCTTGCCATATAATAATAAGTATTGGGCCTATGAAGGTTTGAGTAATAAATTGAGTAACATTAAATAAGGAATTAAATTAAATTAAAAATTGGAAATGGTACCACTTGTTGATCATTATCTCTACCCAGACAATATATTAGGTGTTTTATATGTACTGTCACATTTAATATTAAGAACAATCATATGAAGTAAACCTAATTTCTTTTCTGTGCAAGTGGAGAATTTTAGGTGAGAAACTAAGGAGAACCTAAGGTGGTTGAGGTGATCACACAGCACATAGGCACTCAAACCTTGGCCTCAGTCCTGGAGCCTGCACACCACGGTACCTCCCTACGATTAGGAGCACAAGCTACACTGGAGGAAAACACTGTAAGCCACAGAGTGCCACATGGACATAGTACCTTTGTTGGAGCAACATATACAACTACCCCGTCATCACTCTCTCTCAGGATTTTCTCCATGCAGTAGTAAGAAGCATAGGTTTTCCCTGATGAGGTTGGAGCAACAATCACAGCAGATTCATTATTATCTACAACATCAAGGAGCTCACTCTAAAGGAGAAAAAGAAATCACATTTTATTTTGCAAATATAAATTTCATGTCAAATATAACATCAACTATATGTCAGGCTAATTAGTATTTACAGTTTCTTCTGAGACACACTGGGATTTAATGGCAGAGAGAATTACAATTATGTATTACAACTATATATGCATTACAGTTATACAATTACAATTATATATCTATATATACACACATCAACATATTTTTAAAAGCTTGCAGATATATGTATATGTATCTATACAGGCAAAATATACCATATATTTATGGAGTCAGTCATTCAACTGACTCTTAGAGGCATTCCTTTATTTCTTAGCTCAAGACATAGTATATTTTCAGGTTATGTTACATTCTAAATACAGTGGTTTACATTTCCAAAATTTGCCACACACAATGAAATCAGAACCAATGGCTCCTATCAAGTTTTCCAGACTATGTATCTTTTCAATAAATACCTGCCCTGGGTCTCCCTGGTGGTGCAAGGGTTTGAGTCTCAGCACTATAAAGCTATCCACAGCCACTGCAGCATGAGTTTGATTCCTGGCCAGGGAGCTGACCCACATGGCACAGCAGACTCCTGTCTCACCCGCTGCTCCCCTCAGTAGTGTATTTCAGTCAATCTGCCTGTTCTGCTACCTGCTATGTCTCTGGTGAATCCTCTCAACCCCCGCCCCTCCAGCCTGCACCCCAGCTCTTGCATAAATAAATGAATCTTTAAAGAAATAAAAATAAAAAATAAATAAATACCTGCCACATGTCTGGTATAAAATGATTCACCCTGGGATCTGAATCACTTCTTTCTTCTCGAAATAAGTAAGGGCCCATGTGTGTTAATTGAAACCGAGCTGCTCCCATGTCAACTGAATATTTAGAAATATCCTTCTCAGTACCTGACTCCTTCACCTAAAACAAGCACGACATATTAGATTTTCATGCTATTTCATAATTTTTTAATCTGGGCAAAGAAATTATTACCAATCATGGTAAGATTTTCTTTGCTTTAATGAGATTATTATTTCATGTTTCTTTCAATATGAACAAGTTAGTATTGTATAACCAATATCAAAATAAGCAAAGGAGGACAAGATTTCTATTCTCTTTATCAATTCTGATACCCGAGACAGAAATTGTTGCTATATCATCATTGTAATTTTTGAAATGTCATTTTATGTGATCATACCATGTTTCGTAGGAATATAAGTAAATAAAAATTGAAATCATTTAATTACAAATCTGCGTAATCTTCAATAATTCCTAAATAGGAAAAAATCCCCCCATACATAGAAAGACACAATAAAAGTGTGTTTCAATTAAGAATCACATCTCAATCTTAAAAGGACATATTTAGTTAAGTAAATACTCTCATAAGGATCTATATAATAAATACATATTATCTTAAAATTATTTTATTCAAAGAATTCTACCAATAGACAAACAACTCTTATCATTAAAGAACTCACATATTTGACATGGCCTTTCTTCTTGAAGTTCTGATAGCACAATTATGATATTATTAGCAAAGCATCGGAAAATATAAATGTTAATATTGAGATGTTATGGTTGAGAATCAACCACAAACATGCATTGAAATATTGATGACTTAAAGCAAGAAAAACTTTCATTTAAAAGTTGTCAAAAATAGAGATAAAAATTTTAACTACCCGTGATATTTTTCTATTTACCTTCTTGTTTAAAAAAAAAAGGAGGGGAAAAAAAACCTCTAAGAGAAGCTTCTGGTCAAGCAATAACAAAAAAATATCTTATTTCAAATCTGGGAGAGTTGGCTATTGTGGGGAGCCAATTTTTGTACATCATCATCATTTTTTTAAAGAGAGAAATAATTTCTTGCCTAGAACTTCATTTTTTTAATCACTTTTTTTTTTAAAGATTTATTCATTTGTTTATACATGCACTGGGTACAGTCAGAAGCGCGGGAGGGTGAGAGAATTCACCAGAGCCAGAGCGGGGAGCAGAGCAATGACCGAAGTACACTGCTGAGGGGAGCAGCGGGCGGCAGGAGAGGTCTGCGCGCCATGTGGGACCCTCCTCTGGTGGCCGGGGAGCCGCCGGGGATCGAACCGGTGCCGCAGAGGCCGCGGGCAGCTTCGCAACCCAGCGTTCAACCGCTGCGCCACTGGGGAGGCCCTCAAGTAATTACTTGGAGAGATATTTTGACATAAACATATACTCTCTTCAAATTTGTCACAGTAACAGTCGAAAACAAATAAGTTTAAAGAGTATGTGTGAGGATATTCCTCAGAAATAATTGTAAGTTAAGGCAAAATTAAGTTTATCCACCTTTCTCAGAGTCAATTTTAATTCTTTTCAGAAAACTCCCATTTAAATAGACAACATAGGGCCTCCCCTGGTTGAGCGCTGGGCTGTGAAGCTGCCCACAGACTGCAGCACCGGTTCGATCCCCGGCCACCGGCGAGGGTCCCACATGGCGCCCAGACCTCTCCTGCCGCGCCCGCTGCTTCCCTCAGCAGTGTATTTCGTCGGTCTGCCCGTTCTATTCCCCACTCTGGCTCTGGTGAATTCTCTCACCCACACTTCTGACTGTATCCAGTGCTTGTATAAATAAATAAATAAATCTTTAATAAATAAATAAATAGACAACATTAATTTACAAGCAACAATAGCATCCACAGGAGCATTCTCTCATTTCCTTCACCCTTCTAGCCTTTCTATTTCCTTCTTTCCAGTTATTGAACAGATATTTTAAAACTAACTGCATAAGGAGTACAGCAAGAAATAAGACAGAAAAAGACCCTGCTTCTGTAAAACTGACATCTAATGTTGAACAACAGGAAACAAATGATGAAATCATAAACAAAAATAATCAGATGATGCATGCTGTGAAGACAGAGAAACAAGGAAATTTCTTAGTGACTTTGCTTGGCACAGAAAAGGAGGAGTAGAGAAAATATTGAGATCAGATGGTCTCAAGCCAAGCTGCCATATATGGTCTTTGGTAAGATGATGTTTCATCTAAAAAAGAAGCATTCATACAGAAGAAATAATTATTGTGATACTCAGTCAAAAAAAAAATAGATACAAAAACAATAGGTAACCAGGGATCAAATATGTGGAACCTTGTTTATTCTAAGTAAGATGGGCAACTCCTGTGTTTTATTTTATTCAGCCTGCTGCAACAAAAATACCATGAATGAGGTGGCTTTAAAAAACAAGCATTTGGGCCTCCCTGGTGGCGCAAGGGGTTAAGACACAACCTATGAAGCTGTCTGCAGCCACTGCAGCATGAGTTCGATCCCCGGCCAGGAAGCTACCCACATGGCACAGCAGACCTCTCCTGTCTCACCCGCTGCTCCCCTCAGCAGTGTACTTTGGTCAGTCTGCCTGTTCTGCTCCCCATTCTGTCTCTGGTGAATACGCTCACCACCCCCCACACTTCTGGCCTATACCCCAGTTCTTGTATGCATAAATGAATAATTTTTTTAAAAATAATAAATAAATAAATAAATAACATTTATCTCCCATAGTTTTGAAGACTGGGAAGACCAAAATCATGGCTCTGACAGACTTGGCTCAAGCCTGTCCCTCAGCAGCCATTGTTCCATTGCAACCTCACATGGTGAGGGGATGAGCTAACACTCTGAGGTCTTTTTATAAGAGCACTAATTCCATTCATGAGGGTTCCATTCTCATGACTTAGTCACCTTGCAATGGCCACATTTCAAAACACCATCATTTGTATGCTCAGTGAATTAAGCCAGAAGGAAAAAGAAAAATATCGGATGGTTTCACTTATAACAGGAATATGGGGAAACCAAATAAGACATCAGTGTAAAAAAAATAATAACAGTACAAAGCACAACAAAGCAAAAACAGGCAATTATAAACCAGAGACATCCTGCAGGGGAGAAGGAGGGAGAGGGATCAGAGGGAGGGAGGGAGAAGAACAGGGCATTGTGGTGATGGTGCACGGGTACCTTGGATAAGGAGATTCTATGAGGACTCAATATGAGGTGGTGGGGGGAAGCAAATATTGTCTAAAAAAATGTAAAAAATGATAAATGTTAAAAGAAAAAAATGAAAAAGAAAAAAAATACCATCATTCGGGGGGTGGGAGGGGTGCTTTAAATTTTTACATATGAATTGGAGGGAACATAGACCTTCAGACCTTAACACCTCTAGTATCAATAAAACATTTATTCTAGGTAAATATAAGGTAATACATATATAGGTAAATATATGGTAATTTATTCTAGGTAAATATATCCTATATGGACATGTCTATATAAGATAATACATGGTTAATATTTGGTTAATTTAATATAATTTAATACACACTAATTCCAAATATATTTCATAATATACTTCATGCAAACACACATACACACATACTCATATATATATGAATGTCATGTAATATTTCCTATGGCATCTACCTGATGACATACTGAGTATGCCAAGTTGCCAAATCCAATATATTTTAAATATTTAGCTAATTTTTGTCGATGTGTATTTTGTAATTGTTCTGAATATTTTTCATGGATTATGTGAATCCTTTTCATCAAGTTAATTATTATGTTTATATCTTTGGACTCTGCTTCTGTTGAAATAAAACATTGGTATGGATGACATAAGTTAATCAAGATATTAACCAAACCCCCAAAGCTGATTTAACTCTACTGTTCAGATTTTTTAGAAAACATATTTACATGACTCATTCTTAATAATTGAGGAGCTCATAGTAACAATATTATACCGCATTTAAGAGTGAGGTCTCTTGAGTTAAAGTAGCAAATAAAAATACAAGAGATCTCGTTGTTGCATATATTGATTGGCACATACTTAAATAAAAAGTTGTTTATCAAAAATTCAAATTTAACATGCCCATGTTTGATTTAAGAAGTTGGAAAATCACTTCTCTAATCCTCATTGTCTTCGTATGTATAACAAGGACACTAATAATAGATCTCATATCACATGATTATCCTAAGGATTAAAGAAAATAATCATAAAATTATCACATACAAAATGACTACGAAGCTATTACTGGATCAAACAAAAGGAATTTTTTGTTCTTTAGACATCAGAGTTCCAAAATCAGTATAAGGAGTAAGAATCAGAATATGTTGTACATATCAATTCTTCTGTTCTCATTTTATTAAGGAATTTCTAAAATTAGTATTTTTACATACCTGGTTTTAAACAGTTTTCTTTCCATAATTTGAAACAAGCATTTAATCCTTCCATCTCTGCAATAAATTTTACAGATTTAACGGTGCATGTTTGGAGAAAGTCTTCTAATTTTTTTATGCCAGAATTAGGATTTTCTCTAATTTCATTTATAATACTTGGGGACAAGTTATTCCATCTTTCTTCCTCTTTTTTTTCTTCTTTTGCCACCTGTCTCTTTTGATTTTTTTCAATATGTGTTCCTGCATTTGTCTTGAAAAATAAAGAAAAAGAAAAATGTCAATGCAACAATTAAAATAATTGTTTCCAGAACAACACATATTTTTGCAAGAAATATTTAGTATCTCAAGTCATTAGTTTATCATTCCTAATATGAAAGAAGCACATCAAATAGGACATTAAGGGTCTCAAGTAATTAATTATGTTTCAAAAGGTTTTTAATAATAGAATGGGCAGTGAACTATTGTGGAAGACTATGGGTATGCTGGTAGTAGGAATGGTGGGGTAACATACATCTAAAGGATATGATCCTGTATATCTAAATCACATACAGTACTATAAACCAATATTGCCTCAATAATTGATAAATAAATAAATAAAATATGAAAGGGAAAATATCTACAGAGAAATGTATCAAAATGTTAACAGTGCTTAATTTTGTGTGAAGGTTTTCTTAGAATTTTTAGTTTCTTCTTTATACTTTTATTAATTTTATAAGCCTTCTAAAGAGATTAAATTGTTTTATCTTTTGTGATACATAGTAGAGTATACTTCTTATGACAATTATAAATTTTTAAGAGATTTTTGTCTTTTGCTAACACATGAAATCACAAATATATACAATGCTGAATATTGTTAATGAGAGTCTTACATGAAAAGAATAGAGCCTAAGGACCCCCCCACACCCCAAACATGACTGAGCCCTGTTAGATCAAGACTGTACCTGGTTTGTTCTCATCTTTTGCACAGTAGAATTTTCTTGAGCTCGGTCTCTTACAATGCTTACTGATCCACTTCCTGTCAAAGATTTTTCAAAGGCTTGATAAAAGTGATGTAATACCTGTATTTCTCTTCTTTTAGCATCTTTGAATTTGGCTAAAAACAAGCTATTAAAAATATGTTGACAATGCTATCTATAAATTAGAGTTCTATTAAGAGAGGACTCATGAGAAAGGCTTTGATACTAAATCTTAAAGTTTGCATTAATCTAATTATAGAAATATTAGTGACTGAGATACAGAAATTCAAATTATTGAGTCATATTACAATATCATGGATCCAGACCAGCTTCCTTTATTTGTATATTCACTTAATTACGATACACTAGACATATGAATGTAGCCCATAGAAAAAGTCAATGATGATCTTATGCCTACTTTCATCCAGTGCAACAAAACCACAAGAAAAAACTCCAGCTCTATGGTATTGTTGATGACATTACTCATATGGTCAAGAACAAATCACCTGAAATGTATAAAGTTACATAATGCAATGCTAATTTAATAGGAATTTTTTAATAAATAAATAAATATGCGTTATGTCAAAACCTTAATAACAGGGAAAAGTTAAAAAATAACTCTCTGTAATGCTTTTTTAAATATCTTCTTTCCCTACTGAACTGTGTGAGCAGGAAAATATAACTTTCATGTTTCCTATTATACTCCCAGAAAATAGCATAAATCAGGGCACACAGTAGGACCCTATATATAGGATACATGCAGAACATTTATGTCAGAGATCTGCAACACTAAGCTGGTTGCCATTTTCCATGCCATAAGGAGTCCTAATGTGTGTAAATGATTTTTAATTTTCCTTTAATAATGTTCCTATACCAGTTTGAAATCCAGGAAAATACCAAGATTATAAAACTATATTGGCCCATAATATTTTACTGTCCTAATTACTAGATTATTTGAATATTTAAGATATTTTACTCAATAAATAAAATAGCTAAATAATTTTTTAGAACAAGTAATTAATACAATTACTAATGTGGGCAAACATGACCAATATAACCTGATTAATAAAAACATTGAATCTTATTAAATAATACAACAGAAGTTTCTAACCAAGAAGAACAAAGAACTAAAGGAACTTTAAAAATAAAAGACACAGAAACATCAATTCCAAAGAACACCTGCATGTTTATATGTTTATAGCAGCACTATTTATAATAGCTAAGCTTTGGAAACAGCCCAAATGCCCAAAAATAGATGACTGGATCAAGAAGATGTGGTACATATATACCATGGAATATTACTCAGCATTCAAAAAAGATAAACACATGCAATTTGCAGCAACATGGATGGCGCTGGAAGGGATCATGCTCAGCAAAATAAGCCAGAAAAAAAAAGAAAAATACCGGATGGTCTCACTCATAGCAGGGATCTAGAAAACTTAAATAAGGGACCAGGAAAATGAATAACTGTAAGAAAGTGAAAATCAAAATCAACAAAAACTATGAACCAGAGACACTTTTTGGGGGTGGGGGTGGGAAGAGAGGGATTGGGGTCAGAATGGGGGGTTGCAATTGTAAGGGGAATATAAAAACAAAATTTATTATTTAAAAAAAATAAATAAATAAAATATAAATACCCCCAAAAATAAAAAAAATTAAAAAAAAGAGTAAATAAGCTAGTGTAGCAATCTAAGAAATGGAATCTTATTTTTGATACTATAGGAATTAGCTTCATCTCAGTTCTGCAATGAAAGGTGTCAGAAATTTGTATGGTAGGGCCTCCCTGGTGGCTCAAGGGGTTAAGTCTCAGCATTATGAAGCTATCCGCAGCCACTGCAGCACAAGTATGATCCTCGACCAGGGAGGTGACCCACATGGTACAGCAGATCTTTCCTGTCTTACCCACTGCTCCCCTCAGTAATGTATTTCAGTCAACCTGCCTGTTCTTTAAAAAATCATTAAAAAAAAAAGAAATTTTACGGCATCAGAGAGAAAAGGAGAAAAGGATATGACAAATTAAAGGATATGACAAATTAAAAGGATATGACAAATTAAACTTCATTAATCTTAAATGAGTCATTGCTTCTTATAGACATGATACAATTCTTAAATGAGAATGCTGAAAATGTTTCTTAATATTAGTTTGTTTACCACTACTGATGCACTCGGTCCTTTCAAATTCATCACTGAGAGGTTTAAAAGAACGCCAGGGTCTGCAGTCATCAAATTCTCTTCTAGAAAGATCTAGAAGAGCCATGTCATCACTGCAGAAAGAAACAAAGGCATACATTATAAATACACATGCAATTTTTCAAGTTGTTACTCTAAGCCATGACTTATTTCAAGGTCTCCATCCTGAATTATAAATAAGCCAAACTTCTATATATATTAAGTTTTTAAAACTTTAAGTTTTAAAAACTTAATATATATCATAAGGAAATAATAATATATACCATAAGGAAATATATATACACTATATATACTATAAAGAAATAATATATACCATAAGGAAATAATCAAGAAGTGGGAAGACTATAGAATTGTAATTTTTATAAAGATAAAAACTACCAATCAAGAATTTATTTGTATAGAGGATCAAATTAGGTAACAAATAATAATTAAGTGTGTATAGCCCACATATAAAAGGTATTTCTGACATTAAAAGACTGTTCTGGATTATTTTGTCTTATGCACTTGTACGCAGGTACTTATAAAATATTTCAAGGACAGAGAATAAATGGCACCCGTGGACCTACTATTCATTCATTCCAAGATATTCATTAAAAGCTTGCTGTGCTAGTCTAAATGCTGAGGATATGTCAGTGAACAAAACAAAAACAGTGAAAATATAATTAACAATACTGTATTCCATCCAGTTGTACACCTAAAAAAAATCTTTGTGGAGTTTATATACTAACAGAGGGTTACAGACAACAATGACATATAAAGACAAAATATATACCATGCCACATGATGAAAAGCAAGGAGAAAAAATAAGGCAGACAGACAAGAGAGTGAGTTCTGAGAGAAGAAATGGTATTATTTTAAGTAAGATGATCAGGAAGGATTTGCTAAAAAGATGTTTGAACAATGGGTTAAAGGTTGTCTGAATCATAATATTTCAAGCAAATATAATATTTCAAGCAAGTAGAAAGACTATAAGGTGGGAGAGAACTAAGCTGCCATGTTCAAGAAATACAGCAGATAAGACACGGAAATGGCCTACATGCCCAAATGATGAATGAATGCATAAGGAAAATGACATGTACTCACACACACAAACTGGAATATTGTTTAGACCTTAGAAATCCTGCCAGTTGTGGCAACAAGCATGGACTTAGAGGGCATTGTGCTAGGTGAAATAAATCAGAAAAAGACAAATACTGTATGTCACCTATATGTTGTATCTTAAAAAAAAAAAAAAAAAGCTTACCTTAGAGAATCAGAGATTAGAATGACGGTTGCCAGGGTTAGGAGGTGTGGGAGATGTTATTAAAGGATACCCCCATCCAGATATAAGGTGACTATGTTATGGATATGTAATGTACAGTGTGGTGACTTTAGTTAACAATATTATATTGCTTTTTATACTTGAAAGTTGCTAAGAGAGTAGATCTTATATGTTATCAGCACAAAAAAGGGCAATAGATAAGGTGATGGATTTGTTAATAGTAACTGTACTATGACTTTGTAATAGTAACTGTAATAATCATTTTGCAATGTATACATGTATCAAATCATCATGGTGTACACCAAAAAGACACACAATATTATATATCAATGATACCTCAATAAGGCCGGTTGTGGGAAGGAAAGGAGTCCATGCAGACACAGAGCAAGAGAGCTTGGAAGAGCTTAGTAGGAAATGAGGTGCAAGGGAAGGGAGAATTGGATAGACAGAGGACATGAGATCCTTGACATCCTTTTTAATCTGAATAATTTGAACTCCTTGGAAGGTTTTAAGCAGAAAGAAGTAACCTGATACCTATATCTCTCCCTTCACACACACACACACACACACACACACACACACACACACACACGATCGCTCTGGCTATTACGGTGAAAACACAGTGAAGGAAGCAAGAGCAGAAGCAGGAAAGTAAGAGACCGATTATGAAGCTATTGCAATGATGGGAGAGGATGGTAGATTGTGCAGAAGGAAGAAAAGGTTGTACTCCACCTTCTTTTGAGGGAAGAGAAGTGAGTTTGGTTGACATCTAGATATGTGCTAAGAAATAAAAAGAGAAGTCAAGGACGATTCCAAAAATTGTGGCCTGAGAAACTAGAAGATAGTGTGCAGAAAGAGACACTGAAGGAAGATTAAGTTCCTGCAAAAAAAATTAGAAGTTTGGCATTTACACATAGAGTTTGGGATGTCTCAGAGATTTTCAATTAGAACCAGGGATTCAGAGCATTGAATCAAAATATAATTTGGGGAATTTATAGCAAAAGGAAAGTTGAAAAAATAAATTCAAAAACTACTAGCAAAAAACTAATGTTTAAACTCACAACATTGAATGATGGAGAGAATGACCACTCAACTTGTTATATGCTAATGATTTTTCAGGTTTTCTTCAGACCTTATTTATTTAAAGAAATAAACATTAGATATATTTCAAGACTCCTAGATACTAATCAGAAATATCATTCTTCTCCCTTCTAAAAAGTAACAGCTACTGCATTAGTCATGTCCATGCATTTTCATATCTGTCACTTAATAAATTGCACATAAGTGATATCACAGTCAATACCTCATTCTTGCTTTGTTGCACTAAAAATATGGTTTTGAGATTCACACATATTGATATGTGTGTGGAAATTTTTTTTTTACTCTGGAGTATTTTTAATGATTTCAAGATTCATGTACATAATTAATCTGCATCTGGTCTTTAATCTGTATATCTGGCTGCCACCAAAGCGAGCCACCTGTTTTCTTAATTATGAACCTGTCATATCTATTATAGAATAAATGTTAAGGAAATATTTGTGAGGAATTAAGGAAAGTTGTTTTCAAAATATGCAAGTATATTTTTAAATCATAATAATCAAACATCAAGAGAAAATTACTAAAATTCTCATAAAATTAATCTTCCTGTGTGAAATTTTAATCATATATTCACAACAAATACAACAATAAGCAGCTCACTATATTCAGTAATAGGAAAATACAAATGTCACAAACAGGAAAAGTTTTTTTTTTTATAAATACCTGTTTAGGAAAGATAATTTTGACAAAACATCTCCAGCAAAATCTACTATAAGCTCAGATTTCAGAGGAATGAGTTCTGATTGACGAATTTCTTGTTTTGACCCTGGTGGCAATTAAGAATACAATAAATATCTGAACATCAAATTCTACTAATAATCTGACATTGTGCTGCAACTATTTCTGGAATAGCAAAGCTAAACATCTGTGTCATTTATTACAAAACAAATAATACTTCAACTGAGATAGAATTTAATTTGAACTGAAGCTGAATGAATTTGAAAAATAAAATCAGGAAGGAAATCACCATGCAATCAGAAAAGACAAATATTTATTCTGAACCACAGTAAAAAATGTGCAATTTTTCTATAAACCAAAAGAAATATTATAAAGCTTATAAAAATTACCTCTAGTAATAAAAATTACCTACATTTAATCACCAATATTAAAATGGTATTGTAATAGAGTAACCTCTGCCTCTGATTGACATTTAAAAAGAAACTTTATATATTTCATTTAAGTCCTAATTTTTCTACATAAATAGACTGTCAAATCTGTCAACTACAATCTCCTGAGGACTACTTAAATTCAAACTGGTTTCTCCATAGGAAATTTGTAAGACAGGCATAACATGGAGACAAACACAATTTCACATAAATTCAAAGCTATTCTCTATCCTAAAATCACTAAATGACTCAAGAAAACCTTCCCAAGTTTTTATCTGTAAATTGAGATTGATAAAACCACAAGCAGGGCTTTTCTAAAACCAGACAAAGCACAATACATGGCAGAATGGGTGTTTCATAAATGTTAGCTGCTTCCTTTCCTGTGTTCTCATGTGTGTATGTGAGTGTGTGCACACTTATAGAAACAAATAAAACTGTGGGATGACAAAGAAGGTGTTTAAGTTGTAGACACTAATAAGGAAGACTAACCATTCCAAAAAACAAAACTTAAATAAAGGCCAGTTTATTTTCTGAACAAGTATCATACTGTCAATCTCTCTCTCTGTGCTGAGTGAGTCAACATTTAAAGATTGTCAGTACCTCTAGACAATCCTTTCTGTGTAAGAAACGGTCTGGATGTTATTCTCACAGGAATGGCTTCACCAACATTGTCAATCTCTGATAGTGTCACAATTATGCCCCACAACTTCACATATTCCTGCATCAAAGTGTCACCCATTTCCAAGTTTGTTCCTATGTAGAAAAAGAAAATATACTCAAATTAATAATTAAAATCTAACTGATAGTCAACCATACTTTATGTTTTTTTTTTTTTATAGAGGCATGTTTTTCTTTTTATTTATTTATTTGTTTGTTTGTTCGTTCGTTTTGTTTATACATGCACTGGGTACAGTCAGAAGCACGGGAGGGTGAGAACCATACTTTATGTTTTACAAGTACTCAAGTTGTTACTTAAGTTTTCGTCTGTGAGTATCAACAAAGCTTAAAAATACTGAATCGATTTTGGCACATATTAATGCTATAACTATTGTTATAAGAAAGTAAAGCATCTTCAAATTTAGTTACTGGTATGTTTTTCTTTTTAAAAATATTTTTCTTGGGCCTCCCCTGGTGGCACAGAGGTTGAGCGCTGGGCTGCAAAGCTGCCCGCAGCCTCTGCAGCACCAGTTCGATCCCCGGCCGCTGGCGAGGGTTCCACATGGCGCGCAGACCTCTCCTGCCACCTGCTGCTCCCCTCAGCAGTGTACTTCGTTGGTCTGCCTGTTCTGTTCCCCGCTCTGGCTTTGGTGAATTCTCTCACCCTCCCGCGCTTCTGACTGTATCCAGTGATTGTATAAATAAATAAATCTTTAAAAAAAATTTTTTTTCTTTTGATTGTAAAATGTGCAAACATACAGAAAAAGTAAAACAATGTGTTATTTTATTATAAATAACACTATTATAAAATAGTATAACATATTATAATAGTTTAATACTATCTAATAGTATAAAATAAATACTATTATAAAAATAGTATAATGAATTACATTATACAAATCCACCTTTTAAGTTCAACAGTGAAAATTTTATCATATTT